CCAGCCACCGGCGCGGTGGCTGAGGTGCTGGACTCCCACGTGGCCAGCGCAGTCCGGGGCCCGGCCCTGGCGGCTCGCTCGCTTTCTCCCTCTGCCTTTCTCCAGCGATCACACCCGCCCTGCAGCAAATCTGAAAATAATAATAAGATTAAATTTTTAAAAATAAAATTAAATAAATGTTTTTTTTTAATAAAATGGAATAAATCATTAATTAAATGAAAAAAAAACATCAAGCACACCTACTATGCGACCCAGCGAGGACAGTCTGGGGTATGTGTCCAGGAAGCAGTGCTATCACAGAGACTGGGACATTCGTGTTCACGCAGGCGTGTGGGTGGACAGAGTGGGGCAGCCGCCAAGGCTGGGCCAGCAGTACGGTGACGGGCACAGCGGACCGGCCGGATGAGCACAGAGTGCACAGGAGTCTAGAACACGCGACATGGCAGGTCTGCGGTCACCAGGGGGCATCAGGCGCCAGTGAGGTGATACCAGGTCACTGGTGTGTACATCTGTCAAAGCGCAGTGCCCTCTTTAAACCGATGCAGCTCACTACACGTGAGTTAAACCTCGACAAAAGTGCGATTAAAAGGGGGTTATAGGGGCCGGCAGGCGGCACGGTGGTTAAAGGCGCTGGACTCCCACATGGCCAACCACGGTTCAAGTCTTAGACCTGGTGGCTTGTTTTCTCAATATCTCTCTCTCTGTGTCTCTCTGATCAAACTGGAAAATAATAATGATAATAATAATAAAGTTAAATAAAATAATTCTTAAAAAAGAAAGGGGGGGGACTATGTAGACCAGCAGTTAGCGTAATGGCTGTGGTGCTGGACTCCCATGTAGTCACCTGCAATTTGAGTCCCAGACCTGGTGGCTTAAACTCATGCCGGGCGCGTGTGCGTGCGTGCCCAAGACCCCAAGAGGCGAATAGAGGAGAAGGGATTGCGGCATAGCCAGCCCCCCTAGGGGGGGATTTCTCGCTTTCTGTGTCTGTCTGTCTGTCTTTCTGGTGAGTATAGGCGCCCTATAGCAAAAACCTCTCAAAAAAAAAAAAAATAGGATTATGGAGCCATCAGGTGGTGTGGAGGCTAGGGTGCGGGATCCCACGTGGCTGGCTGCTCCATTCAAATCCCAGAATCTGCATCTTGAAAATGACACCAGCTGTGTGTGTGCGTGCCCCAAATCCCACGAGGACATCAAGAAAAGGGGACTGTGGCACGGCCATTCCCCGGGGGGGATCTCTTCCTCCCTCTCCCTCTCCCTTTCTCTCTTGAGCACACATGCCCTAGAGCACAAAAGAAACAACAAAAAAAAGAGAGGCCAGGGGCCAGCAGGTGGCGTGGTAGTTAAGGCACTGGACACTCCCACGTGGCCAACCATGGTTCAAGTCCTGGACCTGGCAGATTGCTTCTCACTTTCCTTCTCTTTCTGTATCTCTCTCTGGTCAAATTAAAATAAATGAATGAATAAATAAAATTAAATAAGCAATTCTTTAAAAAAAAACAAAAGAGCCTAGCAGGTGGCATAATGGTTAGGGTGCTGGACTTCCACATGGTTAATTGCAGTTCAAGTCCCAGACCTGGCAGCTTGAAACACACACTGGGCGTGTGTGTGCCTGCCCAGAATCCCAAGAGGGGAGTGGGGGAGAGAGGGTTTCAGAGTGGCCACCCCACGGGTGATGCCTCGCCCTCTCTCTCTGTCTCTCCAGCGAGTACACACACCCTATAGCAAAACTCTCTTTCTCTCAAAAAGAGAGGGGATAACGGAGCCAGCCAGGTGGTTGGGCAGCTAAGGGGCTGGAACCCACATGGCCAACTTCATGGTTCGAGTCTTGGACCCAACAGCTTGAAAAGCATACCAAGTGCGCGTACATGCCCAAACCCCCAGACGAGAATGGAGGAGGGACCATGGCGTGACCATTCCCCCTTGGACGGTGACTTCTCACTTTCTGCCAGCAAGTTTGAAAACCTAGACAAAATGGACGGATTCCCTGAGAGACACAAGTTGCTCACAGGAGAAGGAGAAAGCGAGGGGTCCACACAGATGAAAGCCGCTGAGGTGCAGAACCTTCCTTCAGAGAACATTACGTGCACGCTCTACTGGTGAGTACTAACATTCAAGAGAGAGTAACCACGCAGGTCATTCATGAGACAGGAGCACACACTCCAATCACTTCACGAGGCAACGTTACCCTGATACTAAGACCAAACGGGCCGGCCGGCGGGTGGGTAAGGGTGCGGACTCCCACACGGCTGAGTGTGCTTTGAGTCCCGGACCTGGCAGCTTGCTTTCTCACTTTCTCTCTCTCACACTCTGTCTCTCTCTGGTCAAATTAAACTAAATTAATTAAATGGAATAAAAATAAATAAAAATCAAAAAAATGCAGACCGCCATTCCCCATGGACCGACAAACAGAGACTAACAACACGTGGAAAGGGTGGTAACCATGCCGACGTTTATCCAGAAAGTGATGTTTAGCTTTTATTTTTACTTAAAGAATTATTGTATCTAACTTCATCTACTTATTTGTTTATCTTATTTGACCAGAGAGGGACGGAGTGAGAGAGAGAGAGGGAAAGTGAGAAGGCAAGCTGCCAGGTCCGGGACTCAAACCGCAGTCAGCCATGTGGGAGTCCAGTGCCCTTAACCACCACGCCACCTGCTGGCCCCATGAGGTTTAACGTTCTAGAACGTGTCCATGTGAGGGACAAGGTGGCGAGCAGTGAAGGACACGCTGTGAGACAGACACACACTGGAAGGGGCCAGGCTCACGTACGAGCCTCCCTGAGAAAGCTGGGCATACGCACCAGCATCCAGGGCTGGCTGAGACAGGTCGTGACCAACTGGGTACGTGCTCTCTGCCTCTCTCACCCATACAAGAAATCAAACTTTTAAATAAAACCTAAAGACAATCTAGTCATGGGGCCAGCAGGTGGCATGGGAGTTAAGGCACTGGACTCCCACATGGCCCACTGTGGTTCGAGTTCTGGACTTGGTGGGTTGCTTTCTCACTTTCTCTCCCTGGTCAAATTAAATAATGGTAATAATAAATGTAACCTACTGTATCAACAGAGTAAAACGCCAAGTCATATGATTATATATATTTTTACTTGACAAAATTCAGCCCCAGTCATGATTAAAAACTTTCAGAGAGCAAGTCACTATCATACTTAACGATAAGAGACTGCTCCCCTAAGACTGGAAAGAGACCAGCTTCTACTTAACATTGTACTAGCAATCCCAGCCAGTGCACTAAGACAAGAAAATAGATAAAAGGCATACAGTTTGGCAAGGAAGGACTAAAACTATTGGACAACATGATTGTGTAATAAGGAGTTTACGAAAAATCTGCTAGAAATGAGTGCGTGCAGCAAGGTCACAGGGTACAAAGCCGAAGTACACTCAGGTGTTTTTCTAAGTATTATGAAGAAACATTTACCAAAAAAATCCCAAAACATGAAATACTTAGGAAAACCACTGAATACAACGTGCAACCCTTTTAACAAAGAAAATTACAAATCATAGCTACAAAAAAAAAAATGTAAAGACCTCAATAAATAGAAAGTTACTGTCAAGTTCAGAGAAGAATTCACACTGTTAAACTCCTAGTTCTCTCTAAGTCTACTTAGTCTACATAGTCCCAATCAAACCCCAAGTTGGCTTTTATGTAGAAATTAACAAGATAATTCTTATGTTTATGTGGAAAGACAAAGAACCTAGAAGAGCCAAGACTACTACTATTATTTTTGGAGAGGTTTTTGCTATACGGCTCATGCACTCACCCAGAAAGACACAGAAAGACAGAGAGACAGAAAGTGAGAAATGATCCCTCACGGGGGATGGCCACGCCGCAATCCCTTCTCTTCCATTCTCCTCTTGGGAGCATGGGCACACCCACTCACACACCCAGCATGAGTTTAAACCACCAGGTCCGGGACTCGAACCGCAGTCAACTATGTGGGAGTCTGGTAACGTAACCATTACACCATCTACTGGTCCCAAGCCAAGACAATTCTGAGAAAGGGTAAGGTCAGAGGGTTTAAGCAGACAGTGGCTAATTCGGGTAACACAGTGGTGACTTTTGGACACGTGGAGAAACGTGCTTTCCTGGGCTGTCATTTATTTATTTATTCCTTAATTCATTCATTTTCATTTGACCAGAGACAGAGAGAGAGACACAGAGAGCACGGGGGGGGGGGGGGAGTGGGAAAGCAAGCCACCAAGTCCAGGACTCAAACCGTGGTTGGCCATGTGGGAGTGTCCAGCGCCTTAACCACCACGCCACCTGCTGGCCCTGGGCTGTCTTTTATAGCGAAGCAAATGAATGCGGAGCTGCTTTTGTGCTGGCTAAAGGAAGTTGCGTGTGTCCACTAGAAAGGACTGAGCCGGTAAGAGCGGACACACAGAACTACATGGCGCTAGAGGACTGAGCCGGTAAGAGCAAACACACACAGAACTACATGGCGCTAGAGGACTGAGCCGGTAAGAGCGGACACACACAGAACTACATGGCGCTAGAGGACTGAGCCGGTAAGAGCGGACACACAGAACTACATGGCGCTAGAGGACTGAGCCGATAAGAGCGGACACACAGAACTACATGGCGCTAGAGGACTGAGCCGGTAAGAGCAGACACACAGAACTACATGGCGCTAGAGGACTGAGCCGATAAGAGCGGACACACAGAACTACATGGCGCTAGAGGTCTATTTTTAGCTGATTAACATTTGAAAACAACTGGCTTTCTATTTCAGTTTTAACTTTTTGTCTTTTAAGAAAATAAACTTGGAAACGGCTTGGGGCTGCAGCACCTGGCAACTTTAGCTCGGGCCGGCCGCCCCCGTCAGAGGAGCTGGGGCCGCCCAATGCCCGCTTAGTCTACACAGTTCTCTACCTGTGTGTCCCGGTGTTTGTGTTTATTCTCGGGCCCACAGCTGCTCCACTCAAAGCCGCACCCACTTGTGGGGCCCCTGACTTATCATAAAGCTGCGACGCTCACAGCAGTGCCTGAGGCAGCGACGTCCAGAGTGACGGCAGACTCAAGCCCACACGATGGCCCGTCCTCCCCCAGAGGCCACGGCCATCCAATGCCAAGAGCACCCTCCGACGGGCAGTGTGAACAGGCGGGCACCAGGATGCCAGGAGCACACGCCCTATAGAAAAAACCCAAAACCAAGATGCAAAGAAGTGAGCCTCTCCCCACCTCGCCCCACGTGTAAGTGCTAACTTGAGACGGACACTGCAGGGCCGGCAGGTGGCGCGGCAGCTAGGGAGTCAGACTCCCACGTGGCTGACCACGGTCTGGGTCCTGGACCTGGTGGCGTGCTTTATCACTTTCCCCCTCTCTCTGGTCAAATTAAATAATAATAATAATAGTAAATTAAATAGATAATTCTTGAATAAAAGAGAAATGGAACACTGTAAATTTTATAGAAATGTAAAATAAAGGGCTATAAAACTTCTAGGAGAAAATACAAGAGGAATTCACTGTGTGATCTAAGATTATAAAGAGATTTCTCAGGACACAAAAAGTAAAGATGAATAAGCCTCACCAAAAGCATCAACAGCTATTCTTTTTTTTTTTTTTAAAGAATTATTTAACTTAATTTATTCATTCATTTATTTATTTTTAATTTGACAAGAGAGAAACACCGAGAGAGAGAGGGAGAGAGAAAGTGAGAAAGCAAGCCACCAGGTCCAGGACTCAAACCATGGTCTGCCATGTGGGAGTGTCCAGTGCCTTAATCACCACGCCACCCACTGGTCCCAACATCTATTCTTCAAGGGATGCTGTGGACAGAGGAAGAGCACCTACAAACTGAAAGAAAACGTCCCACGCACACATTCTCAGATTCTGTAAGAATTCTTCACTTTAATAATAAGCAACTCAATGTTCGAAATGGACAAAAGGTTAGAAGGGCGTTTTTAAAAAGAAGGCTGTCTCTCTGGTGAGTGCACATGCCCTATAGCAAAAATCTCTTTTTTCCCTATTTTCTTTTTTGAGAGAGAGGTTTTCACTATAGGGCGTGTGAGCTCGCCAGACAGAGAGAGAGACAGAACGTGAGAAATCACCCCCAGGGGGGATGGCCACGCCGCAATCCCTTCTCCTCCATTCTCCTCTCGGGATCTAGGGCACGCATGCACACGCGCCTGGCGTGAGTTTTTTAAGGTGCCGGATCCGAGATTCAAACTGTGGTCAAGTAGCTGGGGCTCCAGAGATGTAACCGTTACACTGTCTGCTGGTCTCTACAGCAAAAATCTCTTAAAAGAATAATAAAACCTCTCTAAAAAAAAAGTGTACTGAAGAGCAATGAAAACATGTGTCTCCCAGAAGACGTACACACAGACGTTCACAGCAATTTTATTCAAACAGCGAAGCGGCAGGCAGACACTGACGCGGCTATGCGGTCGGGTGGCGCCCAGGGCAGAAACGCCCACGCATGTCAGGAGCGCTAGGCGAGCAAAGGCCGGACAGAGCAGGGCGCCGGCACCACTGGGGAGAGCCGGGCGGAGCGCGGCCCGCAGGCACGGGAAGCAGATCGCGGCTGGCTGGTGCGCGGCAGCTGGGCCAGGGAGCCTCCCAGGGCAGCGGAAGGGCCGAGAGCTCGCCCCGGGGACTCCGCCACGTTCCCGGGGGGCGCGTGGGGCGGCAGCTCTGTCTGCGTGGGCACCCGCACCCCGCAGACTCAGGAGGACCTGACCGCCCAGCCGACGCCGGGTCAAGCCAACCAACTTGACCTGCGCGCCTCCCCGCAGCCGCAAAGGGCGCTAACAAAACCGGGAGCCTCCCGCCGTGTAAGCAGCAGCCCGCCGAGCTGCAGCCCCCGCCGCCCTGTGCGCTCTCCGAGAACGCAGGGGGGAACACCTTGATGGCCAGGGACACCGCCCGCCCACCACCACTTAAATAAGGGTCTCGCAGTACGGAGAGGCGGCTTTTCACACGGCGGCACGGCCACCAAGCC